TTCAAGGGTTTCCTGTCCTATAGGGTCTAGTATTTGAGAATTATTGTATTCTTTTTTTTGTTCCTTTTTGTCTTTTTTCGTGACCGGTAACGGGATCGCAACCCTTGGTGTTGCGCCCGCACCGCGCTCAACCAGTGAGTGGACCGGTCTCTACATGGGATCTGAACCCTCGGCGGGAGTGCCGCCGCGCTCCCAAGCACCGCACTCTACCGAGTGCACCACCGGGCTGGCCCAGAATTATTGTATTCTTTTGGTGGTGTCATATTTTCTTGGGTTTTTGTATTTCTTGTATCTCTACATTGATATCCAGTCATCTGATAGAATTGTTGCTTCTTCTATTACTCTGGAGTGGCCTTTGAGGAGAGAGACATCCTCTTCTTTTTCTGGTCTCTGCTGGTGACTCTCTTTGTGTCATTGCAGGAGGATGTCTGACAGGCTGCCTGCTCAGTGGCTGTGGCTGCTGCTGTGGCATTGAGCCACTTTTATGGCAGCCATGGCTGTGGCAGAGGCTGTGATGGACCACCTATGTGAAAGTGGTGTTTTTGGCATGCTCTCTTGCCTGCTTCTGGGATGAGGGGGCTGTCCTGGGCTCCTGCCTAGGACCCCAGGTTTTGGTCCAGGAGAATAAATCTTAACAAAGCCAATAAAGTGAACTGAGCTAAATCCTGGAAGTACTATGGAGCCACTGTTTTGTCAATCTCTTAGTCTCTGCTTCTGCCTCTGTCCCCCACCCAGTACCTTCCTGATCTCTAAAGTCTAATGTTCCATCAAAAGTAAAAATGTTATGAGGACCATGGTTCCCATAATAATAATTTCTTCTACATGTGGTTGGTTGGCTGACTTTCAGTGAGAATGGTGTCTTCTCCTGGCAGAGTACGTCAAGCCTTCTGTCTGTACTGGTGGAGTGTACGGTCTGCTCCTTCTATGGTTACTTCAAGTGTGAACAGGAGCACAGGGGTTGGGCATGTCTCTGAGCCTCAATCCCCCACCAGCATCATAAATTCTTGTAAGAAACAGAGATGATAACAACAGACACTGAAATTAAATCGAATAAATCTAACAATAAACGTGCAAACTGTGGATGCAATAAATTCTAAAACTTTATAGATGACATAAATAGACTTTAAAAATGGAGACATAGCCCAGGTTCTTGGATAGGAAGACTCAACAATGTAAAGATGTCCTTACCTGCCCCCCCCCACCAATTGATCTATATATTTAATGGAATTTTAGTCAGAATTCCAACAGGGATTTATTTTTCTTAAATCATGGAACTCGACCAGCAGATTCTAAAATGTACCTGGATGTGCAAAGGGCCTAACAAAGGACAAAGTGAGAGAACTTGCCTTCTGGACAGAAGTCCCATTGTAGAGCTACACTCACTGAAATAGGGTGGTGCTGGCACAGGGATGGGCAGTTGACCACAAGACAGAAGAGAAAGCCAAGAACTAGACCCACACACACATACCTTTGACATAGAGCTGAGGTGGCCCTCAGAACAGTAGGGACATGCACCATCAACTTTCTCCCTTGCAATGCCTGTAAGAAACCAGTCTCTCACCTCGTCAGCCTTTCCTACAGAGCTCTACTCACAGTCAAAGCTTAATACATGTACTATGATAAGTTGGCTGACTTGGAAACTGTACCATCCTTCTACTTGCCTACCCACATCGAGATATCTCCTCTGTCTGATGCCTACAGTCTTTTCATTTAACTACCATTCCTTTAATCATGGGTTTCCAGCCTTGGCATTATTGATATTTGGGGTCAGATAATTCTTTGTGTGTGTGCATGCTATCCTGTGCATTATAAGATGTTTAGCAGAATCCCAGGATTCTACCTGGCTTCTACCTACTAGATGCTGGTAACCCCCACCCCCAGTCAGGACAACCAAAAATGTCTCCAGACATTACTGAATGTCTCCTGGGGGGCAAAATGCATGCCCTCTGCTCTGTTGAGAACCACTGGGTTAGGCAGTTCCCCCACACCACATTCTCTTTTATGATGCTACACCCTCCTTGTGTCTGACTTTAGAACGTTCACATATATCTTAGCTCTCTCTCCTCTCAGAGGACAGCACTCTCCCGCCCTTGCAAAGGTCAGACTTGGCCATTTGATGAGTCATTTCATGCTTAGCCACTCTTTTCTCTCTTCCAGGACACAAGTGTGGCTGCTTTGTGTCCATGGGTCCTGGATAATATGGAGAAGATCCCTGGTCCACACAGGATGAACACATAGCCTTAGTGAGAAACAAACTGTGGGTGCCTGTCACCTCAGGATAACCGAGCCTGCTCTGACCGCATATCCCTCCCTGCCAGGAGAGTGAAAGTTGGGATGACGGAACCCTCCCCTTCTCCACATGTCCACCCCTCCTGTGGTCAGGCCTGGGTTAAGGGAGCAGGAAGCCTCCGGGTCACCATCTCCCAGGGGGCCCTGGTTCAGAGGGGGCATCATGAGGCTTCCTTGAACCTTCCCAGCAGGATTCGAAGCAGCGATTTGCTTGTTAGACACACACTGGGACCCTGGAGAAGGGCTTTCCAAACTGCAGGTTGCAACCCATGAGCAGGTCAATAGAACTGTGGGTCCTGAACACGATTCCTGTTTTGTTTTGTTTTTTCACGCTGGCTGGTATGGGGATCTGAACCCCTGATCTTGGTGTTACAAAACCATGCTCTAACCAACCAAGTAACTAGCCAGCCCAAGAATTCCTGTTTTTACTGAATTAGAATGAAATAACATAGCACACCACAGAACAGAATAGAAAATATCTGAGCGCATCATATGTATAAAGGGTCAGCATTTTTTTTTGTGAAGCGTTTGTTTTAAGGTCACTTGCAAAATGTATTCTTTAATGTGGGTCTTGGTGAACAGTGCTCAAAATTCTTTTCTTGTGATAGATCTGCTGTTCTCTTTCACAGGTCCCTGCATTTTCTCAAGTCTCTACTAGGAACAAGGATTAGTTTTAGAACCAGTTAAGAAATTATTGAACAAGAAACAAAACTAAGACTGGATTTAAAAAAAAAAAAGTCACTTTGGATCCTCATCAGAAGAGTACATCTATCCACACTGGGTCCCAGGCTTGGTGAGAGGAGGGGGCTGGTTCTGGGGTCAGGCAAAACCAGAGTCTCCCTGCATCTCAGAATTTGGATCTGTCACATGAGAGAAGTGAGGGGAGAGGTAGGGGGCGGGGAGTGCTATCTACCCAAGGAATCTAAGGGAAAACATTCCCTGTCGTGACTCAGAATCTTCGAGTTACCCTTCCCTGTGCCTGTTTCGTGTGCTGGGGGATCTAACCCATGGATCCCACCTTCCCAGGGAGAAAGAAAATCCAAATCCTTCAGTATCTCTTTTGGGGTATTTCCTCCTCTATTTGCATGGAGAATAAAGTACTCAATATCTAAGGGCAGAATATTACGTTTTCATAATACAGAACTATGTTGGGGTAAATTAAAAATTGTTTTGTCTGAGCCACAGGTAGAGCCATGTCCATGCTGACCCGGGCTGCATCCATCTCCCGGCAGTACCAAGCAGGGCACGCTCACAGTTCTGGGGAACCTCTGTCCCCAGACCCAACTGACACCTCCAACCTCCCTCCTCGCTCTTCCCCTCTCCCTCCAGCGGCCGTGGCAGCCCCCGCTTGGCCCTGGGTCTCCCTTGCTTCTCTGTCCACCCTGCATATCTGTGTCCTCCCTTGCTCCCACCACTGCTAGGACTCTTGCGTCTTTCTCTCGGTACTCCCCTTCTCTGGGGGATCCCTGACTTGGGACAATGGCTGCACGTCCTCTACCCTGAGATTTGGGACAGAACCCAGGACTCATTCAATTCTCCCTCCCCCCACCAGACACACCTGTTCTCTTTAATGTCTCTAAAGTCACAGTAAGTTCCAAACCCAGCCTCTCCCGCACATGCCAGCTGTAGGAGCTCTGGCAAGACGCCTGGCACTTGTCTGAGTCTCCGTCTTTCATCTATAATATGGGCATAATGATGATAGTGTCTGCCTTCCAAGGCTGGGTGGGAGCCAGGACGCTGAGGTGATAGGCCATGGACCGTCAAAAAAGCTCCAATCCTGTCTTCATCTGAGGTTGATGTTTTATGCCCATTGGTGGCCTTAATATCTCCCAACACACACAATGATTTTTTCCAAAATATACTTTCCTTTACCTTTCCCCAGAGCTGACTATCCTATCTCTGCACCCCGCAATGGACAGGACTGTTCCATTCCCAAGTCTTCATCCCCTCTGCAAGCCCCCAAGCCCTTGGTTGTAAAACTCTTGATGGGCAGTCCCATGCCCTTGTCCAGTGGACTTTTTTTTTTTATCTGTTTCTCCCCTGCATCAAAACTAAGTGGACTGTTTCATTCCTGTCCACCACATGGCCCCACAGTGGACACTCCTTCCCGAATTCTCCACGTTCTCCGGTTGATGGTGTTATCTCTGTGTCCTCCCAAATGGAACGTCCCAGCCCCTGGACCTGAAGGTCGTTCAGAGAGCAAAGGCCAAGGTGTCCAACCACCTGCTGCAGAATCCTGCCCCAGTACTGGGATGTACAGTGTCTATCAAGATAAAAACTGGAAACATCCTCTGCTAGAATACCAACTCCACGTGGGCAGGGATATCTATCTGCCTCATTCCCTGATGTCGCTCCAGCACCCAGAACAGTGCTTGGCACACAGTATGCACTCACTAGGTGTTCGTTGAATAAATGACTCCTTTGATGCAGCAATTCCACTTCTAAGAATCTGTCCTAATGAAACACTCACACATGTGCTCAGAGCTGTGTGCACAAGAACAAGAGGAGCAAACAACTAGGAGAAGTTTTTAAGTGTTTATTAATTGTCAGTGACTGACACACGGTAAATGAATAATGGGGTTCTGCAGCATGGAGCTCCCACTGAATATGAAACAGAATGAGACGGACTCGTCCAGAACACATTAGGAGTGAGGAAAAGCAGGCGGGAGATGCTTATAGTGGTATCCTGTGTGTATGTGTAAATGCAGAGAAAAAAGTGTAGAATTAAACACTCAGAACTGCCCTCAGTAGTCACCTCAGGGGAGAGAGGGGGGTAATGATGTTTTGTGCAGAGAATACCTGACAGTACTGGTTTTGTGAGATAGGTGCATGGATACACAAACAGAAATAGGAATTAAGTATATGTCTTGCTCAACAATGAAACACTAATATCTAACAGAGTGCTTGGCATATAGTAAGAAAAATGATGCTTAACTGCGTGCTGTTGGGAACTCTTCCTTTCACTTGCTGTACACCTGATGGCCAGGAGTTCACAGCCAGGCCCATGTTCGTGAAAAGCCACCAGGTTCTGCTTCTCATCACAGGCACATGTCACATCTTTGAGGCTGAGGCAAGGAGAGAGAAGGAAAATAAGTGGCAGTTAGTTCCCACTGCCTGGTAACTCAACGGTCAGCTCCTCGTCCTGACTTGTAGGTCCCACACGCTCTGATTCTGCCCGACCTCAGGACCTGTGCGCACCTCCCGCTGCTTCCGCAAGCGAATCTTCTGCTTGAGCCTCAGTGACTCCCTCACCTACCTTATGAATTCCTAGGCTAGAGGAAGGTGTGGCCTGCACACCAGAAGCTGAGCTGGGGTTTGGGAGCCCATAGCATCCTGGGTAGGGAAGATCCCTGGATATACAGGGCAGGGAGTAGAAAGTGCATGGGAAATCTGATCATGTAGCCTTAATGCTGCACCCCAAGGGATTAGGAGAAGGGAATGATTTGGGGAACAAGTGACAGGATGGGATATCAGTAGCATAACAGAACAGCACATTTGCAGGGGTGTGGAGGATGGGCTGAAGGGTCACTTACAGAGTGAGTCATGTTCCTCAGGCTCACTGATCTCTTCATATGCTGCTCGATTCTTTCTTTTCCTCAGTCTATTGGTCCAGACATTCCTCCCCTGTTTCTTGCGTCCTGTGATGGAGAAGAGTTGGTATATGAGGGTTGGGTAGGTCAGGGAATGTTAGGCCCTGTTTTGTCAAAAGGGAGATGCCTCCTCCTTCCCAAGTGCCCATGGACCTTCTACATCCTCTGTTTTTTACATCTTCTGGCTTGGAGAGGCTGAGACGTTAGACCAGCACCAACACGGACCAAATGCCAGTTAAAGTTTTAGCTTCTGGCTCCTTCCATTGTCAGCTTTAGATCCTCAACCTCTTCACTAGCCAGAACATTCACTCCTACCTTCTTTCATTTAGCATATATTTGTTAAGGGCACATACTTTAGAATCTGTCCCTTGTTTTCACACTATGTTTTTCTGCTCACTGACAAATGGGAAAGTTCAGTGTGTGTGTGTGTGTGTGTGTGTGTGTGTGTGTGTGTGCAAGGGAGGGATTGCTCTCTCAAGCTCTTTTCCAAGTTCAAAACATAGATTCAGGTTTGATTGGGAGTGAGAAGACTGTGGTTGTGATAAAATACAGGGAAACAGCTATCTTCAATTACATAATGCATTAAATCACTTTCTTAAGATATTTATCCAATACCTATGTGATGTTATGAAATTGACTCTGGAAGTTTTTGGTGGATTTATACTTCAATTAAAATTTTCTTAATTGTCCTTTGATTCATTAACAGTGTTTATAAAGAACAACATATCCTTTAAAAAAAAGAAATATTTCAAACATACAGAAAATTATGGGGAGTAATATTGAATCCAGTCGGATTGCAACATTATCCTACAACTACTTCAGATGTCTGATTTCTTTATTCAAAATATAAAAAAACAGTATAACCAAGTCGTAGCTGAAGCTGTCTGTGCAGCCCTTACCAGTCTGTGCCCTCCTGCCTTCTTCACTTATAACCACTCTCCTGAATTTGAAGGGTTTTATTCCCATTCATATTTTTATACATTTACCATTTCCTTGTTATCCATAAAATATACATTCTTATTTTGTATGTTTTAGAATTTTATATGAGTGGCCTCTGTACTTAACCTTCTGCATCCAACTTTTTTTTTTTTTTTTTTTTTTTTTAACTCTGCCCTGATGTGCGTGAGGAAGCAAGCATCTGAGAATCTTTCCCAGGCAGCTGGACTGAAAAACAGGTGGGATTGAGCAGACCCTTTCCAGTCCCTTCTTGTCCACTCACCCTGATTCTCGTGGTTCAGATCTTCATCAGAATTATTCCCCTGGGATTCAGTGGCCTGTTTATCAGAACACACAAAAACTGGAAGGGTAGGTCTGAGACCTAGAAAGAAGCAAAATGTTTGTTCCTTAAGAGACAATCTGAGAGGAGGAAGAAAGGGTGGGGTGCTGGGATGCCACACAGACAGTAAGGCTCATCAGAACGAAGGGCGATGGGAGAGAAACTCGCAGGAGCCAGATCTGAGCTCCACTGTGGCCAGTCACTACCTTCAGCTCCATACAGGCAGAATGCCCAGAAGCTGTTTGGGATTTCTCCCTGCACAAAAGGAAAGCGTGGGGCACTTGCTGCAGCCTAAGAAGAAGCCATAGCACGTAAAGGGCCTGAGGGATGCTCATGTGTACCCAGGCTTGTCTGTACCCAGAACTTCCCGTTACCTAGATTAGTCATGGTATCATAGTTTTTCTTCATATACACATAAGTGATTTTCTCTGTGTATCCAAGCTTTGTCCACTCTTTCTTAGAGAAGTATTTGGAAATATCCTTGAAGGCCTAGGAAAGAAAGAAAAATAAATTGCAGCAGCAACTCAGCTAGACGTGTCTGCCATTCAGTTGGGGCTGCTTCCTCTGCCGCAGGACCTTTGTGAAGGATCTGAGAACTGGGGATAATCATCCTTCCTGGTTAATGTCGTGGCTAACTGACAGAATATGGGCGACATTCCCTAGCCTCTCCCCCGGCACATAGCAGGTGCTTAATGCTGCTGGCTTGCTCTCCTCCCACCTTCCAGAATGGACCGACAGTCACCAAATAGAGTGCAAGGTCACAGACCTGTTGTCTCTGGGGATGCTAGGCAGAAACACAGTGACGGAGGGAAGCTCCTTCCTTCCCACCCTCTAGATCTCCCTCCTGAGACCCTGCTCCTTGTCGCCAGTTCCTCTGTCCTCACCTCCTCAGAAATTTAGTCATCCTACACTGTCCCCTGGGCCACTCCTCTGACTCCCCCATATCACCTCACCTTACATTTCTTCTCTGATTTCTTGGTATCCCTTCCGGGGCTCTTTGCAAAGGAGCTGCCTGTGTTCATGGCACCGGGAACAGTCTGATCTGCAAGGAACACAGCCTGGGTCTCTCCAGCCACAAGACCGAAGGTCCTGTGGAGAGTGAAGGCACTGAGGGATGGCCACACACAGTCATCTGGAATTAAGTTCTACTTTTCTCCAACCTAGGCTTATCCATTTCTGAGAAAGCACATGGGGAGAAGTCAGATGAAACCAGGGGGCCGGGAGTCTCTGGCAGAAGTATTGATTAGGGATGACAGGTTTTCTCTGGGCATGAGCAAAACAGCCTTGAGTCTTTGAGAGGGGGTTAGCCATTGCTGTTAGTAGTTCCCATGGAGCTTAGCTTATCCTTAAGTAAAGACAAGGACCTTTGTTGGGGAAGCAGTGAAGTGAGTGTGTAGTTTTACTGAGTGGGGATGTTCTAAGATTGGGGGAGGGAGGAGGTGGATCTCAGATATCATGGTCTCTCTGATCGATGAGTTTGGGTTGTCAGGCAGAGAAATGTGGGTTCTGTTGGAGAGAAAAAGAGATCGTTAGCAGATCAGTGGATTTAGAGGCTATTACTGTGTTAATTGGAAATTATTAGAGTGAGGAGAATGTGGGGCATTTGAAGATCTGGTGCTCCCCAAACTGAAGGAATTGGGGGGATATCTTCGGGAGAGGACATTCAGGGGTCTCTGGGGCCAAGAATATTGCTGTTTCATCCAAGAGGAGGCAATAAAGTAGTTCCTTAGGCAGAGGCTATTTGTCATTATCACTGGTTGAGAAAATCTAAGGGCGTCTAGCTGATTAGGGGTTTCTCAGGCTGAGGAGAGTTTTGCCTCCCTCAGGAACAGCAATTAGGAAGTCTCACAGACCGCAGATAGTTTTAGTTTTATCTCTGCTTGATGGGGATTGCCCCGAAAGGTTTTAGTCGTCTCTCAGTCCTAAGATCTTTACGATCTTGGGGATCTCAGGAGACACGGCAAAGGCCCAAGCACTTGAGTGTTTTAAAGAGGCTCCTAGCTTTTCTACCTGCCCCCCTTAACCCGTGTGTCCCTTAGAGAGAACCTACCTCAGAGGCGAAGCAGTAGCAAAGTGGCACTCGAGGAGATTAGATTCTGCCGTGAGACGTCCAAAGGACGATGGACCAATCAGGGCAGTTAGTGAACTTGATCTGGCTAATCAGAGGTCAGGAAAGTGGGCAGGACAAGCGAAGCAGGAGTGGGGTCTCTCGGTCCAGGCTCCAGGGGGCAGAAACTTCTTTCCGAAGGGTGCGGATACTCTGATTTTCTGGCCCGAAGCAAGTTGCCCTCTGCTGGGATTGGCTACTCCAGGTTCCTGTAGGCCTGTTTAAGTGCTTGTCAGTACATATGCTCGGATTTTCCCTTTCCATTCAACCCACATATTCCTAACCTCTGCTGTGCATTTCTTGTTCAGTTTTAATAAATGATAGATATGTGGCAGGTTGCCATCTCAAATCCTTCCCGTAATTCTCTAACCTCTTCGAGTATGGGGTCCTCCTGAGGACCTACATAGTAACTTAAGAAATTTAAACTTTAAAAAAATAATAAACTTCTATCTGTGCTTTTTCTATACTACTCGACAGCCAGAAACTTGAGAGTAATAGTATTTATAACAATAATATTAAAATGAGTATCCATGTAATTAGGGCTTTCTGTCTCCCTCAGAAGGCTCATACGTCAGTTCCTCTAGGAAGTCTCCCCTGTGCCCATCCTAAGTGCCTCCAGTGAGTCGGCGATGCCTCCTGGGCTTTCCATTCACAGGCCTGATCTCTCTAAGTTGCCCCTTCTAGAATGACAGACAGCTCTCTTAGGGCACAGACAGGATAATGACCCTTGTGCCCAGCACAAAGCCTTCTATGTGCATCTTCCCATTTAATTTTCACAACCTTCCCTTGAGTTAAGTCTATTATTATCCCCATTGTGCAGATGTTGAGACCGAGGCTCAGAGAATTAAGCACCCTGCTCAATGTCATACAGTCAGTGGGTGACAGAGGTGGGATTCACCACCATGGTGAATTGAGTTCATAGTCTGTGCTTTTAATTATTCTTCTACATTGCTTCAACTATTTCTTGGTTGGTGGAATGAATACATGCATCTTAAAATCACAAATGACCTTTAACATAATTAGCATGGCTGGCCCGTGGCTCACTCGGGAGAATGTGGTGCTGATAACACCAAGGTCACGGGTTCAGATCCCATATAGGGATGACCGGTTGCTCACTTGGGAGAGCGTGGTGCTGACAATCCCAAGTCATGGGTTAAGATCTCCTTACCGGTCATACTTAAGAAAAAAAGAAGAAGAAGAATAGTGGTGGCATGCCTGTGGCTATAAATGTTCAGAGGACTTTTTACGTTTCCATTCAATGTCACTTCTGCTGCTACAACAGAATACCTGTGACTGGGCAATTTATCAGGAATAGAAATTTATTTCTCACAGTTCTGGAAGTTGGGAAGTCCAAGATCAAGGTGCCAGCATTTGGTCTGGTGAGGACCTTCTTGCTGGGTCCTCACATGGCAGAAGGGCAAGCTAACAAGCTAGCAAGCTAACCGAACAGCTGTGTGAACCCTGTTTTTAAAAGGCCTTAACCCCATTAATGAGGGAGTAGCCCTCAGTATAATAACCCCTTAAAGGCCCCACCACTTAATGCTATCACACTGGCAATACTTGAAGTTCAGAGGGGCCACATTCAAACCATAGCACAGTCCCTTGGACAGAGGTGGTTTTATTTCTAGCTCATTCTTTCACTGAAAGTGAAGCTTTTTTTTTTTTTTCCATTCCCAGGTTTATGTCAGCAGTCTGCCTACTTTGAGCAAGCCATGTTCTTGAAAATTGCAGATTAAGTAACCTTGGTTTGGCAGATGCTCTCAAAGTGAAGGGGAGGCAATAGTGGATGTTATGGTCTGTGTCTTAGTCTATTTTCTGTTGTTATAACAGAATACCACAGACTGGGTAACTTATAAAGAAAATAAATTTATTTCTTACAGTTCTGAAGGCTGGGAAGTCCAAGGTTGAGGGGCCCACATCTGACAAGGGACTTCATACTGTGTTATCCCATGGCAGAAGATGGAAGGGCAAGAAATCTCAAGAGTGAGAGAGGGCCAAACTCATTTTTTTTTTTAACAACTCACTCTTGAGATAATGAACCTACTCCCATGATAACAACATAAATCCATTCATGATGGCTGAGCTTTCATGACCTAATCACCTCTTTCTTAAAAAAAATTGATTAAGTGCCAGTCCCAGTCCGGTACGGGCGCGACACTGAGGGTTGCGATCCGTTGCCGGACACGAAAAAAGACAAAAAGACAAAAAAAAAAAATTGATTATGCATATTCATGGGGTATAAAGCTGACCGTCACCACTTGTGTCCAAGATGTGATGGCCAGATCAATACTATCAGCATGCCCATTACCACAAATTGTGATTATTCCCTGTGTCCCCCACCCAATTAATCCCCAACCTCCCATCCCCACCACTCTGCAACCTTAGGTATGCTCTCTCCCTCTGCAAGTCCAACACACCACTGTGGTCTTTCTTTCCTTCCTTCCTTTCTCTCTTAGCTCCCACTTATGAGTGAGGACATGTGCTATTTTTCCTTTTTGTCTGGCTTATTTCTTTTATCCTTTCTCTTTTTTGTGTGTGCGATTAACTTTTTATTTTAGTATATTTTTCTTTTTTTACTCAATTTTTTTATTGCAACATAGTTGAATGTATGTATCTGTGGGTTACAGAGTTGAATATCAATATTGATGAGTAATATGTGATGCTCAAGTCAGAATAATTGTTATATTCAATAATATACACTTTCATTGCTATTCGTGGACCTTTACCAATTCCTCCCTCCTCCCTCCTCCCTCCCTTCCTGCTTCTAGTATCTTCAGTTCTCCTTTTGAAAGTTCAATGGATTATTGTGAATGCTGTATCTTTCTTTCATTCTTTTATTTATATATTTATTATTTTAGCTCTCACTTATGAGTGAAAACATATGGTATTTCTCTTTCTGTGCCTGGCTTATTTCATTTAATATGATTTTCTTTAAGTTTATCCACGTTGCTGTGAATGGCAATATTTCATTCTTTTTTATGGCAGAGTAATACTCCATTGTGTGTATTGACCACATTTTCCTTATCCAGTTGTCTCATGATGGACATTTAGGTTGCTTTCTTGGCTATTGTAAATAGAGCTGCAATAAACATGGGGGTGCTGTTATATCTTTGACATGATGCTTTCCATTCCTTTGGATATATACCCAGCAGTGGAATTGCTGGATTGTATGGCAGTTCTATCTGAAGTTGTTTAAGGAACCTCCATACTGTTTTCCATAATGGCTGCACCACTTTACAGTCCCACCAACAGTGTAGGAGGGTTCCCTTTTCTCCACATCCTCGCCAGCATTTGTTATTCTCTGTCTTTTTAATAATAGCCAGTCTATTTTTGGGGGGTGAGATGATGTCTTAATGTGGGTTTTTTTTTTTTTCCTTTTTTTGTCTTTTTTCGTGACTGGCAACGGGATCGCAACCCTCGGTGTCGTGCCCGCACCGCGCTCAACCAGTGAGCGGACCGGTCTCTATATGGGATCCGAACCCTCGGCGGGAGCACTGCCACGCTCCCAAGCGCCGCACTCTACCAAGTGCGCCACTGGGCCGGCCCCTTAATGTGGTTTTGATTTGCATTTCCCTGATGCTGAGTGATGTTGAGCCTTTTTCATGTGTCTGTTGGCCATTCGTACATCTTCCTTTGAGAAATGCCTATTCAGTTCCTCTGCAGAAAAGCCATTTTCTGTCTGATTTTGAGACCCTTGCAGACCTTATGCTCACAGCATTCTTCTTATTACAATTGTTCCCCCTTTCCTATTTTAATAGTCACTTTCCCTGCCTTGCAGTAATCCTTTTAAGTAAGTCTTTTCTTACTAAATCCTGATTTGTTTTTCTTTGAATGTTAATGGTGCCATGATTCCAATGGAGTGCTGATTGCCCCTTGGACCCCTCTGTCATCACCCAGGTATTCATGCTGGCTTCC